GAGCAGAGCTCAAGCCAAGAGGTGAGAGTTCATGCTGGAAGCATAAGGTGGCACTTTGCCCCCAGAACAGTGCTGGAAACAGACATCTGCATAAACTGGAGGTGGGGTACCAATGTGATCTTCCAATCCTGTGCAACTCAGGCTGTTTACCAGCTCCAGCCCCTCAGCAGGTCTCCCTCCATCTTGCTCTCCAACCATGGGCTGTCTCCTGTGGCTGTCCTCCCACATCCACTCTAGGAACTTCGTAGTGTGGAATTGGGCTTGGAGTGAAGAGGCTGCTCTGAGACCCAGGTTCAAAAACTGAGCCCTTCTCTACAGTTGCAACCCCACCCTGCTGTTGTTTTGCAATTGTGGCAGCAGGCTCTGGACCAACTGCACAGGGCCACTCTGGGAGCAGATTCCATATTTTCCTTGCAGGTTCCAACAGCTGTGGATTCTCTGTCCCCATGCAGTTCGCTCATCCTTGTGGAATGTTTTACAGTTGTCTCTGAGTAATGTTCTCTGAGTTGGAATCTTCAAAGCAGAATTCAGACATGATTACCACATTGTTTTTGGTTAATCCATCTTTTATTATAGGCTCTCCTACTCTGTTTCTTGCTGATGTTCTCTGACTCTCTCCAACGTGGCTGGCTACTCCTTTACCCAGCCTGTTAGATCTTCTAAATCTTTCCTTCTCAGTGGATATTTCCTGAGCTTCTGTGATGTGACTTCTCTAGTCAGCCATGTTGAATCCCCTATTTCAGACTTTTGCCTTGTCCAAGACTAGGTCTGTTGCTTGGGTGTCACTTCTGCTGTGCCATAAAGAGAGGAAACAATTCAGATCCAGCTCCAAGTTGGTAGTGGCTGAGCCAAGGCAGGGAATCTGCAGTTGTGGAGTTGGTCAGGGACCAGCCCGTAGGTTGGAGCCTTCTACCAGGACCGTGGATTCAAGGGTTCCACCTGGGCTGCCCCATGCAACTTCTGACTCTTCCCCAAAGTCAAAATAACCATGAACAGTAAACATTTCGGGTTGACTCAGGACATTGAGGTAGCCATACCAGTGCAACTAAAAACGTTCACAAAAGCAGACTTCCAGAACTGCTCAAGAAAGTGGCAAGAATTATGGGATAAAGTGTTTGAAGAAATGGGGAGTTTTGGGAGGGGGATTAATATTGGTTATTAATATTAATTAGAATTATTATTAAAATTTAAGCTATATTTTGATCTCACCTGATATATCAGATAATTTCTGCATCTTGTTAGATAATGATGTGGCTTTTATCATCTCATCTGCTAATATAGTAAAATACTGTATATTAATTTGTTACTAAGATTAAACTAACTTTGCATTACTGTGATCAACTTGATCCTAGTTTCTTTTTTAAATATATTTTTGGCTCAGCTTTTTTGCTCTTCTTTAGAATATTACATCTAGGCTTAGGGATTTAGCTCAGTGCACTTTACTAGCATGTTCAAGGGCCTAGGTTTGATCCCCAGTACCATCCCTTCCCTAAATTTTTGTAGGTGTAACCTTGAGTGAGATTGACACATGAGTTTCCTTTCTTTCACTGAGTACTGTTTTGAGGTAAGATTTATTATGTCTTATAAATGAATATGAATGTTACATTTTTTCCTCTGAATAAATTCTTTTCATATTTGAATGATCTGGGTAAAATATGCATGTAAACTTCTCTGGGCTTCTTTGGAAAAATTGTAACTACTCAATGACTAATTTTAAATACTTTTGTCATTATAGATGTACCATTCTATTTCTTTTTGTTTCAAATTTAGTAAGTTTTATTTTTATAGGAATTTATATTAGCTGAATTTTTTACTTATTTTCATGTGATTTCACAATACTGTTTCATTTTTTACATTCTACATTCTGATTCCTGTTTTTAATTCCAAATGTTATTTCATCCTTATTTTTGTTTTAATTATCTTGCCAGAGGATTATTTTTTATTTTATATATTTTGTACTTATTATTTATTTTGATTTTGATTATCCTTTCCAGAGAACTATTAGTGTTTTTAAAGAATCAACTTCTGGCTTTGTTGATCCTATTTTATATTTGTTTTCATTTCATATTTCCTGCTCTAATCTTTACTATTTCACTTTATCTAGTTGCTTGATTTCATTATATTTATTCTCTAAATTAAGACAGATGATTAGCTCATTCATTTGTCGTCTTTTTTAATGTTATGAAATAAATTTCCTTTTCACTAAACTATATCAGTTATATATCACATACTTTTAAACAATTATTTTCCTTATTCTCATTTCTCAGTATTTTCTAATTCCCTTTGGAATTTCTTCTTTAGCTTATAGCTTATTATTATTGGCTTACTCATTAAGGAGATTTCCTGTTTTTTAACGCAAAAGTTTAGTATTGGCATCTAATTTTGTTACTATATAGTAGGATCTTTTAAATTTGAGCTTTCATGTGACTTTCTAAATGTACTTTTCTTATAAATGTGTGTATATATTTCTTTTGAATAAAAATATATGTGAATACACTTATGTACATAACATGCATAAGTAGTGAATAATAATATATTAATATACATATATTATTTTGGAGACATAGTATGACCACTTAGCACAAAAAGTCCCAAACTATTATTTAACTGGTATGTTCACCCCTCAGTTCACCCCAACTACCAAATTATTTTTCTCAAGTCAGTGGTTCTCAAATTTATTCAAGTAGTAAAGGCCCTGGAAATCATAATTATTTTATTTTTAATGAGTATTATAAATGTTGCTATCTTAAGTTTAATATACTTAATTCTAGGGCCAGAGATTTAACTCAGTGGTTCTGCCACCTGCCTCACAAGTGCAAGGACCTGAGTTCAATCCCTGGTACCGATAA